GTTCATACACTGCAAAACAGGCCACGCCAACTCTGCGCGCACTTGACAAAATCCCAAGGTTCCACCTGCAACTATAACAACTCCTGGCCATTTCACAGTGATGGACCCAAAATAATAAACAAGCAGCAGCATGTTTGGCCTGTAGGGATCTGGTGGCAAGAGGCATGACTGAAAGAACTGGTTCCAAAGGCAACATGCGGTGCTGCAGGGCAGGGAGATCCTGGAGCAAGGGACTGCCAGCCAAGTGTTGCTTCATGGGGACAGATCGACAACAGCAGCAGCAGTTCTCAGAATGAGCCTTGCCCAAGAACTCCAAAAATAAGTTACAATTTCTGAAAGCAGTACTTCAGCCAAGTATATTTAATGTAATTAAAAATGAAAGGTAGATGAGGAAAATTAAGTTCCCCTCAATTCTGACAGGAACTCATATCTTAAAATGCACCAGAGGCATAGAGTCACCTTCCAGAAATGTTTTTCCTGTCACGTCTTACTGTTTAATTATATATTACCATTCCAAGCTACCCTGACAGATTTTAAGTGAGTTTGTCTTTTTTCCCTAATTAATCATAGCAAAGACTCATCTGTTCTTCAAGCCTGGTGATGACAGCACTGTTTTCACCAATGTAAAGCAGTCATCCCACAGCATTCCTTGCTGAAAGCTATTGCAAAGAGAACAGCTCACCTATCTGCACAAGATGCCTTTCAAAGATATAAATCAGCTCCATGTACAGTACTTCATTCTATAGGGAAGTAAAAAGGGGAAAATTGCTTTTCCACAGCAAGCGATCATACAGACACATAGGTATAGCACAGGATAATAATGGTAAATAAATGGTAATTGTAACTATATAAATCCAGTGTAGCCATCCAGGAAGAAGGATACTACCCCTTAAACTTCAGACACTCCAAGTCAACACTGTCTGACACTGGTGCAGCCAGCAGGGAGGCAAACGACACTTGGTCATGCTGGGAACATAAGGCAGTCTCCCTTACAATTACAATAAACACCACAGTTATTTTGAAGGCTGCTTTGGTCACCAGCATATTCTATTCTAAGTGCAGAAGTTGCATCTTTGAAAATAACTTGTATCTACACAGAAATCAGCACTAACAAGCTACCTAATCAAAGAAAAGCCACACCCAAAAGAGGAAATAATAACCGTAAATTGAACAAGAGAAAGAAGCCTCACTTTCTTTTCTTTAGTATCATAAGTCACAGAAGTGAAATTACTGGAAAAAAACTCTTTTGCTTTGAATACTTAAGCATTTATCACTTACAACAGTTACAGCATATTGCATGCTCATAGAAAGTTTTATTGCTGACCACTGAAGGAAAACGTATTTTCAACATAGCCAATAACACATGGATCAACAAGGGGAAGTGCAGAGTTTTACATTTGGGGAAGAACAACACCATGTCCCAGTACAGGTTGGGGGCTGAACTGCTGGAGAGTAGTGTAGGTGAAAGAGACCTGGGGGTCCTGGTAGACAGGAGGATGACCATGAGCCAGCAATGTGCCCTTGTGGCCAAGAAGGCCAATGGCATCCTGGGGTGCATTAGAAAGGGTGTGGTTAGTAGGTCAAGAGAGGTTCTCCTCCCCCTCTATTCTGCATTGGTGAGGCCACATCTGGAGTATTGTGTCCAGTTCTGGGCCACTCAGTTCAAGAAGGACAGGGAACTGCTCGAAAGAGTCCAGCGCAGAGCTACGAAGATGATTAAGGGAGTGGAACATCTCCCTTATGAGGAAAGGCTGAGGGAGCTGGGTCTCTTTAGCTTGGAGAAAAGGAGACTGAGGGGTGACCTCATCAATGTTTACAAATATGTCAGGGGTGAGTGTCAGGGGGATGGAGTCAGGCTTTTCTCAGTGATGACCAGTGATAGGACAAGGGGTAATGGGTGTAAATTGGAGCATAGGAGGTTCAAGGTGAATATCCGAAAAAAATTTTTTACTGTAAGAGTGACAGAGCACTGGAACAGACTGCCCAGGGAGGTTGTGGAGTCTCCGTCACTGGAGACATTCAAAACCCACCTGGATGAGTTCCTGTGTGATGTACTCTAGGTGACCCTGCTCTGGCAGGGGGGTTGGACTAGATGATCTCTCGAGGTCCCTTCCAGCCCCTAAGATTCTATGATTCTATGATCTCCATTCAAAGCATTTTATCCTTCATCCTCTCAGTTTAAACTCCCCAAATTACGAATTAGATACTTACAAAATTACTTTTCCCATCCATGAAATCCTATGACACACGCACTTCCCCCCCACCCCAGCCCCTCCTTTTACTCACATATTTTATTTTGATTGCTCTCCTATAACCTTCACGTGGCATGCTGGTAGCTTCCCAATAACAAGCCACTACGAAAAAAACCTACGTAGCTGGTTCCACCCATAAAAACAGCCATAGCTGGGCACCACACAGCCCCAGGCAGTCATAAAATTTAACGTGTCTTACAACAGTCTTGTAAGAGTAACTTGAGATTAAAGCTCAAGTTTTCAATAACCAATCACTCCATTAACAGTGCCACCTTTATGGCTTTCTAGGTGCTTTCCTCTTTTCCAAAGTGGGACAACTAAGGCAGCAATGACAAAAAGAGGATACATTCCGTTTGACAGGCTCCTGAGGACTAAAGTTCACATTTGTATCCAAGTATTTAGAAACATTTTTACCAGTAACACTCCTTGTTAAGGGCTGACCTCAGAAGGATTCTTGCCTTCCAAATTATAATTTTTTCCAAGTTATAACAAAATATCAGATTTAGCCATATGCCTTAACCACCACTTAAAGGATGAATGCTTTTAAATAGCCGTGATATCCTGACAGTTTGGTGATATGTTCCAAAAAAAAGAAGAAAAACATGCTGAAAAAGACAGACAACTGCCCAGGAGAGCACAGAGAGATTAAGTGATCCTTCCATGGGGTATCACACATATCTTTCTTTTGTTTACAATAAACTGCTTTCAGTGTTCTTATTTTAAAAATGCATAGGAACAATACGCAGTTAAAAACACTATGACCTATTAAATCACTTCGAAATTTTCACCTACTAGAAGCAGGTTTTGTATTTTATTTACTAAGGGTGAAAATATTCACACACTGTCTCTAATCAAAGTATCCTGTATCATGGCTAATGAACTTACAAAGTACTGAGAACAAAACAGCTTATTTTCTATGGCAAAAGAAAGTGGAGATCCTAAACCTTGGCTGGTTCTGCTCTCTGTAGCCTCAAAACCCAAACAGACCCCTACCTACCCCAAATATTAGTAAATCACGAAGGTAACTCTGCTACTCTATTCAGTTACACTGTGACAAACATCCTGGGATGTAGAAATCTTCCCAACTAAAAACAACTCTGTTTTCCTTTCTAGGTGTCAAAATTAGCATTCTCTGTATCGGATATCCAGGAAAAACGGAAGCATAGCTTATAATATTATTTCCCCAGTCCTGGCAACTAGCCTTCAATTTGCTACCACCTCTACTTCAGAAAACTTCAACCCTTTCATTAGGAAATCCCTCTTGCTGGTTTACTTGAAGGGAATGGTTGAAAGCCAAGCTATGTAGTACAGTAATTAACTTGCACATCCAGATCCAAACCAGTGTATTATTTAGAAAAGATGAATTACTTAAGATCTATCCTCACTTGCTATTTTTATTTTAATGCACGTCTTCTAGCTTTGTGTTAGAATATACAGTTTTCTCATTAACAGAGAAGTTAAAGCAGTTGTAATAGAAGATTTACAATTGTCTGTCCCAACCAAAACAACAGAACTTACTGTACAATTTGTTCATCCAAGAAAGACCTCAAATACAGCCATGTTTCCTCAGACATCCTATAAAACTGCAGTACTTGTGTATATATATGCATACAAACAGTTTGTGAGTCATCCCCAAACTCAAAGCCCTAGGAGGTGCTGACTGCATGCTTATAAATGCTGTGTCCAGAAGTTTCAATATAGCAGAAAATGTAAACCTGCACTACAGAATTTGATATGGAAATCCACAAGCATTTCTGTTTCACACTTCCTCTTTCACACTTCCAGAAGTTAAGAGGAAGGCTGCCTCCACCAAAGGTGTCGTTCCTCAAAAAGAGGAGGTCTGAGAAACAAACTATTCCATCACCAACGAGATCCAGATTCAAACCCACATCCTACATAATCCAACATATCAATCTATCACCAACCAAAAAGCTGCATTTTTTAATGCATTGAACATTTAAAAAACACTCTGATAGGTTTCAGTATCTGAGGATAATCTTTTCACAACAGAAGGGTTCCACATTTAAGAGAGAAAAGACGGTCTTTGAGACTAAAGAAGTGAGCATCCAGTCTCTAGATGCGGGACAAACTTCTATCAAGGTATGAACAACTCACTACTGCCCCTCCAAAGCCTCCGCTCTCCCCCTACTAAAATGAGGGTACCTCCTTACCCACCCCAGCATCCACCAGAGCATCAGAAGACTCAAAGTTACAGCAATCAAAAAAACCCCATGTTTTTCCAATAACCTTCAAGTCTGTTACACGAATGTTTTGTTAGAGGAAATGCCTGAGCAAGTGGCCTTAGACAACTGGTTTACATTAAGGAGGAAGCACATTAATTTACTGCACGAGTACTACCGCCGTGCACTTTCAGGAGGTGCAGTATTGTGGCCACAGTTGCCATTTTCAGCGTTGGAGAATAAACAAAAAAGCTGCCAACACTAGGTTGCATAAGAACACTTTAAGCACATGGTTATTTACAAAAGCAGAGGTAATTATAACACAGGAGGTGGATCCCAAACAAACTGACTTGACTAACGCTGTCAAAAAAAAAAAACAACACCAACAGAGATCTACAATTACTATTACTTAATGGCAGGACAGCTGCATGAACAGCCCAAGTCACATATAGAAAAAAAAAAAAAAAAAAAAAAAGAAGTCGGAAAAACACTCTAAAAATTCAAGCTGACGTCAGAATACATGCGTAGAGGAGAAAATGGGAAAATGCCATTTCTTTCAACAGCTTACCTGATCTGGACTTAATGATATCACTGAACTCGCTGTGTCCCCCACCAGGTCCTTCCTCCTGGTCAGAGGTGTGGGCCATGCTTGCGGGCTGAGGAGTGCCGTGTGTGCAGCCTAAAGCTGTTGGGAGAGGGCTCCCATAGAGGACCTCGGCTCAGCACCAGCACCTACAGCACAGGAGAGGGAGCAGAGAGGCACTGTAACCCCACGGGCTGCACCAGGTGTGACTCCTCACACAGGCTGGGCCCCAGGCTGGCTGGCCATGCCCACGCGTGGCTCCCTGCGCCCCTGCAAAGGGACGGTGCCTCACAGGTTTTAAAAAGTGAGATGACACCGAGAAGTCTTGCTGGCCAGGAAAATACCGGGCGCCCGGTCGACCCCCACCCACCCTGGAGGGGCTGGTCACAGTCCCCGCGGCGACACGGCCACCGCCCCCCACCCAGCTGGAACCAAACGGGACATCCCCGCCCACGGGG